AGCTGCGGGACAGCGCCCAGGCCCAGAGTTCAGGCCCCACGACCGGACCCCCCCAAAAAAATAAAGTTTTCTTTATCTTAATAACTTGGGAGAGTTATTTGCCTTGGCTTGCAGGGTTTTTTGGGGAGGGCAGGCAAGAGGGAGAGGTATTGATATATCAAGCTCTTACCCAGCATTTTCTTTAATCATTTTCTTGATCATGCCTGAATTCTACCATTTTTGCAGGTTAATTGGATTTTTATGCCACAGGCTAGCTTCTCAGATGCTCAGATCTCAGCCTCGAGAGCTAGCTCAGCCTCTGAGGTAGCTAGGATTATAGGCATGAGCCACCCATCTTCTAGCTTAAAGATTTTTTTTCCGGTTGTGGGGCTTGAACTCAGGACCTGGTTGTTGTCCCTCAGCTCTTCAGTTCAAGGCAAACGCTCTACCACTTGAGCCACAGCGCCGCTTCTGGTTTTCTGATGGTTAATTGGTGATAAGAGTAGCTATGATTCCAGGTTGATCCATCGGCGCCTAGCTCTGCAAATTTTTTTTTTAAGATTTCTTTTATTAGCATGCATTACTTGTATACACGGAAGGGTTTTATTGTGACATTTTCATACATACATACAATGTATACTATCAACTTTACTCCCCTGTGTCACTCCCTTTACCCATCCTTTTAAAACCGTTTGGACACTGGTTCATACCTGTAACCCTAGCTAATCTGGAGGCTGAGATTTGAACAACTAGCCCAGGGAAGAAAGTTTGTGAGACTCTTATCTCCAATTAACTACCCCAAATCCCAAAGTGGAGTTTTGGCTAAAGTGGTAGAGCACTAGCCTTGAGGGAAAAAAGGAAAACAATTAAAGTTCAAACTCTGACAGCATCCAGGCCCTGAGTTCAAGTTCCAGGACCAGCACAAATACAAGAAATACGGGGCTGGGATGTTGGCTCAGTGGTAGTGCTTGCCTCGCATGCTTGAGGCCCTGGGTTCGATTCCTCAGCACCACATGAGCAGAAAAACCAGAAGTGGCACTGTGGCTTAAGTGGTAGAACACTAGCCTTGAGCTGAAGAGCTCAGGGACAGGTCCTGGCCCAAAGTTCAAGCCCCACCCAAAAAAAAAAAAAAAGAATTTGAAGCTGTGTATAGAGGCTCGTTCCAATAATGCTGACCACTTGGGAGCTAGAGATTGGGAAGACTGAGGTTTGAGAACATCCTGGGCAAAAAGCTCCCCAGACCACATCTAAAAGAAGTGGTACCTGTGAGAAGTGAGGCCCACCAATTACCATCTAGGAAAGGCTGAAGACAAGGCTCTAGCATTCTGTGGGAGGCAGGAAGAAGATGCTCTGGGCAGTTGGGTCAGGGCCTCTGTTTTAATGGGCTTTCCCTCCTTTTGTCTGTCTCCAGGACTGGAGGGGTGGGGCTGAGTAAGAATTGCTGTCTTTTCTATTGTCCTGATGATGTGGGAGTAGATTCCTGTGTAGCTCTGGGCAGTGAATGATATTCTGAGAGCAGGGTTGTGGGGGGAGGCTTTGGCCAGGTCCCTTCTCTTAGGCAGGAAGCAAGTAGGGCTGGGGGTGATCTTGGGTCTCTTACCTCCTCACACCAGTGCTAGCCTAGCTCCCAGGGCTATGCTTGGAGGAGCAGGCTTCCTGCCCTCCTTCCTTGAAGACTCTGTGGTTTGGGAAAGCCTGAGAATAGTGGGGTTGCCTCATCCTCAGTTCCTGGCAAGAGACGGAGACTCAGGTATCACTTAATAAAGATCTTTTTCTTTTTCTTGTTTTTGGTTGG